TGGTGCACCAGACCTAGGGAGACTGACAGTTGTTTTGTGTTTCTTCCATTTGCGAATGATTGCACCAACTGTTGTCACCTTCTCACCAAGCTGCTTGGCAATAGTTTGGTAGCCCAGTCCAGCCTTGTGTAGGTCTATAATCTTGTCCCTGACATCCTTGGACAGCTCTTTGGTCTTTGCCATGATGGAGAGTTTGGAATCTGATTGTTTGATTGCTCCTGTGGACAGGTGTCTTATATACAGTCAGGTCCATAAATATTGGGGACATCAACACAATTCTAACATTTTGGCTCTATACACCACCACAATGGATTTGAAATGAAACGAACAAGATGTGCTTTAACTGCAGACTGTCAGCTTTAATTTGAGGGTATTTACATCCAAATCAGGTGAACGGTGTAGGAATTACAACAGTTTGCATATGTGCCTCTCACTTTTTAAGGGACCAAAAGTAATGGGACAATTGGCTTCTCAGCTGTTCCATGGCCAGGTGTGTGTTATTCCCTCATTATCCCAATTACAATGAGCAGATAAAAGGTCCAGAGTTCATTTCAAGTGTGCTATTTGCATTTGGAATCTGTTTCTGTCAACTCTCAAGATGAGATCCAAAGAGCTGTCACTATCAGTGAAGCAAGCCATCATTAGGCTGAAAAAACAAAACAAACCCATCAGAGAGATAGCAAAAACATTAGGCATGGCCAAAACAACTGTTTGGAACATTCTTAAAAAAGAAGGAACGCATCGGTGAGCTCAGCAACACCAAAAAGACCCGGAAGACCACGGAAAACAACTGTGGTGGATGACCAAAGAATTTTTTTCCCTGGTGAAGAAAACACCGTTCACAACAGTTGGCCAGATCAAGAACACTCTCCAGGAGGTAGGTGTATGTGTGTCAAAGTCACCAATCAAGAGAAGACTTCACCAGAGTGAATACAGAGGGCTCACCACTATGGAAACCATTGGTGAGCCTCAAAAACAGGAAGGCCAGATTAGAGTTTGCCAAACGACATGTAAAAAAGCCTTCACAGTTCTGGAACAACATCCTATGGACAGATGAGACCAAGATCAACTTGTACCAGAGTGATGGGAAGAGAAGAGTATGGAGAAGGAAAGGAACTGCTCATGATCCTAAGCATACCACCTCATCAGTGAAGCATGGTGGTGGTAGTGTCATGGCGTGGGCATGTATGGCTGCCAATGTAACTGGTTCTCTTGTATTTATTGATGATGTGACTGCTGACAAAAGCAGCCGGATGAATTGTGAAGTGTTTCAGGCAATATTATCTGCTCATATTCAGCCAAATGCTTCAGAACTCATTGGACACTGCTTCACAGTGCAGATGGACAATGACCCAAAGCATACTGCAAAAGCAACCAAAGAGTTTTTTAAGGGAAAGAAGTGGAATGTTCTGCAATGGCCAAGTCAATCACCTGACCTGAATCCGATTGAGCATGCATTTCACTTGCTGCAGACAAAACTGAAGGGAAAATGCCCCAAGAACAAGCAGGAACTGAAGACAGTTGCAGTAGAGGCCTGGCAGAGCATCACCAGGGATGAAACCCAGCGTCTGGTGATGTCTATGCGTTCCACACTTCAGGCTGTAATTGACTGCAAAGGATTTGCAACCAAGTATTAAAAAGTAAAAAGTTTGATTTATGATTATTATTCTGTCCCATTACTTTTGGTCCCTTAATAAGTGGGAGGCACATATGCAAACTGTTGTAATTCCTACACCGTTCACCTGATTTGGATGCAAATACCCTCAAATTAAAGCTGACAGTCTGCAGTTAAAGCATATCTTGTTCGTTTCATTTCAAATCCATTGTGGTGGTGTATAGAGCCAATAATTTTAGAATTGTGTCCATGTCCCAATATTTATGGACCTGACTGTACAAGTAACAAAATGAGATTAGGAGCACTCCCTTTAAGAGACTGCTTCTAATCTCAGCTTGTTACCTGTATAAAAGACACCTGGTAGCCAGAAATCCTGCTGAATGATAGGGGATAAAATTCTTATTTCCCTCATGAACATGCAAATCAGTGCATAATTTGTTAGATGTGCATTTCTTTTGAATTTTTTGTTGCTATTCTGTCTCTCAGTGTTACAATACACCTATCATTCGATTTTTAGACTGATAATTTCTTTGTGAGTGGGCAAACATTCAAAATCAGCAGGAGATCAAATACTTATGTCCTTCACTGTACATAGATAAGCTACATGCATAAAGGCAGTGTAAAAATTCAAGTCAACCGCTGTGTCATTTCGCTGGCTGGAACGTGGTGATGCCACAAAAGACTCCCGCCTGACGGTTGTCTCCAAAACTGGTGTCCTCTGGGATTGGAGATCCCAGAATGATCTCCAACCCCAGAGGACACCAGTTTTGGAGAAACACGTCAGCCGGATCCTTCTGTGACATCACCACGTTCCGGCCAGCGGAATTACACCGTGGTTGATTTGAATTTTTACACTGCCTTTATGCACCTTATCTATATAGTGCAATATTTTATTGAATAAGTTTCTAAGTTCTATTGGGTTGCACTATGAAGTCTCTTCTGTTTTAATCCTTCTTTACATTGTATGGAGAGTGGTTTGGTGTGTGAGGAATTCGTCCAGGTGAGCCCACAGCAGTCCATCCATCTTTCTTGATATTTTTATCTGTCTATTATAGTTCGTCCAGTTTATACCAAGTTTCTACTTTGTCATACTTAAATTAACCTTTGTATGCTGTACTTTTATATTTTGTTTATGGAAAGCGATTTTGAACACATATTGCATTGTTCAAAACATTTACTCCTCTTGTTGTCAACTTGAAAAATTCAAGAAACATCAAGTAAAAAAAAAACTGAAAGCTGATTGTTTTCTACACGGATCTGCACCAGATATTTTGCACACTTCAGTTTTAGTACATAACCCCCATATTGGGCATGAGGAGAAGCCAGGAAAGCAACATTATGGTAAATATTTGATTAACAATTTTCCTTTGCTCTGATCCTAGTAGTACGTTTTGCCTACTTTAGTTACAGCTTCTCTTTAGCTGCACATTCAGAGGATTTCACTTTACTAAGAAACTGTGCTGTGATGTTATTTAAAAAAATAAAATATGCAAAGTATATTTTTTCTTACAGTCTCTGTGTGTTTATTTAAATGTATTGTATAATTGTAATACAACATAATTGTATAATTCTACACTATATAGATTTGCCCTGCAAATATTGTTTGTACTTTAATTTTTTATGTTTGCAAAAGCAGGTTGCCATGGTAACCTTTTTCTACTTGAATGCGGCTACTATAGAGATAATTCTTTTACTCCCACTGCTAAAAAAAGGAACATTTTGTAGGTATGCATAGCCTAGCAATACATAGTCTGTAAATATTTTATATAAAGGGATAGGGATAGGCAACTGAGGTATGTTTTGGAAAACTGAGGTGAATCTTTTTTTTTTTTTTTTTTGTTGAGGGAACCTTTTTAACTCCTGCAGTAAATCAGAATTCCTCAGTACTTTTAGTCACTTACCTGAGACAAGTATGGCAAAAAAAGAATTTTAATTGTTGTGACTGTCAGTCGATGCATGCTGGTTCTGGGCTTGTGCCTCAGAAGTATGGAACAGATACTGTAAAGCCTGGAGGCATTTTCAAAGGGAGGCCAACAAAGGCAGCCAACATATAGTATTTCTTTTTTATGATAGTTGTATTTTAACAACTACTGAACAGTGTAACTAGATACTGTATAACATTGTAGAAGTGCAGAGGCCTAGGGATGAGGTTTGAGTTCCTCAGTTCAAGATAAATCCTGTGGGTTAGAGACGCATGGTCCTGGCAAATAGTGATGCCTTAGATTTGGTTTGAGCAAGGAGTTTGGATGCTGACCCTAACCCTGCTGAAATCAATCTATACAATTAAAGGACATGTAAAACAACATGCTGAATGTTCCCCCCCGGGGCGGACTGGCCATTCGAGCTCTCGGGCACTGCCCAAGAGCCCGGGGTCAGTAGGGGGCCCCATAAAATGCCCCTGGTACCTTTTTTTATAGGCTTTTTTGGGTGTGTTTTGAGTGTGGGCAAGGACACAGGGGCCCTATGATCCTCAATTGCCCAGGGGTCCCATGAGTTGTCAGTCCGCCCCTGGTTCCCCTCATATTTAGGGGGGACATGTAACATTACCCAGCTCCTGCCTCCTCTCCTCCCAATCCCTCCTCAGTGTGACAGTGGTGGGTATTCCTCTCCCTGCACCCACTGTCACAATTCAAAAACAGTGGAACCCTGCACAGCTACTTCATTCATTCAGTTTCCTTTGAATTAATGAACTGCAAGTACTATCAGCCACCACGGCACACTGCTTGTAGTTCTGAATGAATTTCAAGGGAGCTGACGAATGCCCTTGTAGTTCATTCACAAGCCCTGCAGCTTTCAAACTGACAGCCTGTATGGAGGTATGGACTAAAAGCTGCATTGCTTGTGTGCAGAAGACTCACATTGCACCCCTGATCCACTGATCATGGGTGCAGTGCTGCCCAGGCTTCTGCTGGAAAAATAATAAATGCTCATTTTCTGGAAAAATTATGTGCTTTTATTATATTTTTCTAAAAAGGTGAACTTTTTTCTAGGCTAATAGGTATAAAAGTATAAAATAAAATAGCATGGGGAGAACACTGCTCAGGGAAATAAATACAAATGCAAAAAAAAAATGTTTCTTTAACCACTTGCCTACCGGGCACTTATACTCCCTTGCCCCAGGCCAATTTTCAGCTTTCAGCGCTGTCACAGTTTGAATGACATTTGCGCCGTCATGCAGCATTGTACCCATATGACATTTTTTAAATTCTTTTCACACAAATAGAGCTTTCTTTTGGTTGTATTTATTCACTGCTGGGTGTTTTATTTTTTGTGCTATGAACAAAAAAAGAGCAAAAAATTAAAAAAAAAAAATCGTTTTTCTTTGTTTCTATTATAAAATTTTGCAAACAGGTAATTTTTCTCCATCACTGATGTGCATTGATGAGGCTGCACTGATAGGCGGCACTGGTGGGAACTGATAGGCGGCACTGATGAGGTGACACTGATGATGCTGCACTGATTTGCAACAACGATGAGCACTGATGAGCACTGACTGGCAGCACTGCTGGACACTGACTGGCGGCACTGCTGGGCACAGACTGGCCGGCACTGAATGGGCACTGATGGGTGGCATTGATGGGAGGGCACTGCTGGGCACTGGTGGGTGACTCTGATGGGCACAGGTGGGTGGCACTACTAGGCACTGATGGGCACAGGTGGGTGGCACTGCTGGGCACTAATGGGCACAGGTGGGTGGTACTTTCCTGTCACAGAGTGAGGAAAGTGCAGCCGATAACCAGCAACTGTCATTGGACACAGCTGATCACGTTGTAAAAGGCCACTGTGATTGGCCTTTTACCACATCACATGATCAGCTGTGTTCGTAGGACACAGTGATCACGGAGATTGCCGTGGCATGGTCCCGGGGGTGCGTGGGAGGACGCGTTCTGGGAGGATGTCATATGACGCCCTCCCAGGACTGGACAACTGTGCTGTAGCCGTCATTTGACTATAGCGTGGTTGCCAAATGGTTAAATCTATTCAGCCAAGAGCATAGAATTTTTTAAATGATTAGAGTGGAACATTAAAAATGTCCAATTACTTTAAATAATATACCTGGGGTTTGTCCTAATCCTGCATGTGAAGAGGGGCATTTCTGTGATGTACAGCAATTGCTGTAATAGCACTGACATTTACAAAGGAAAAAAAACAGCACACAGACCCTTCCAAGCATCTGCTATGTATTTTGTGGAACCTTTGGAGGGGTTTGTGTGCTGTTTTTTTTTTTTTTTCTAGAAGCTGACAATGAATGTCGTTTGCTGGCAATTTAAACCGTATAATTTTCTATTTCTTTGTAAATGTCATTTTTGCCATAGCACACCCAACAGCAAGAATGAAAAAAGAAAAACGAAAGATTGCTATGAGGTGCATGTCGGCCTGCCACGTGTGCTTCTGAAGGTCTACTGATCAAAATCATATCCAGCCACGGCAATGTGTCAAGAGCTAATGAACCATGTCACCAGTCATATGAGGTTTGTAGCTGTCTCAAAGTTGTGGAAGGCCAGGTGTGAATGGGAGGGATAAGCTGTGGATTGATATTTTATGTCTATTGGAGAATCCTGAGCTGTATCGTCTGCCCCAACAATCATATGAGCAGTATGGCCACATTGAGTATATTTCATATCCTTTAAAGAAGGATAAATTAGCAGTGTTTAGACCATATACACTGTGAATTATAAGAGTCAACATAGCTAACTTGAGCATGACCAAAGCTCGTCGTACAGCTACACAGTGTTCATGGTTTTTGATAAGAGGTGACAGGCCAGGTTTATATTAACCAGCATAATGACTCCTGCCGGCAGTCTCAAATAGAGACCACCCACAATTTCTATAAGTACTTGAATCCAGTTTCATAAAGTTGGGTCCCCTGAAATAGGGCTACATCAGCATTTAACTGATATGTAACATCTCAATCGCATTACTGGTGTAGGAACATAATCATAATGAAAAAAACGTCCAGTTACAGCCATCAGTAATTGGCCGCTATCTCAAGCTTGTGAAGTGCAAGTGGAACAAGGGGGTCCCCCAATGTCACACTACTTTTCTGGTTCATTTGAAACAACAAGTGGTTAAACCACAAGGATTGATGGGATTTGTGCTGTGGGAAAGGAGTCACTGGAGCAGGCAGACTTGGTTGCTGGTGATACTGGCACGAAGATTAATGTGACAATCTTCTCAGCTCCAGCTGTGTCTGTGAAGGCTCCTTGTTTGCCCACTGCTGTAGTGGGGTGGATGAGTTCTGGATGGGTCAGTAAAAGTCATCTGCTTGTTTACAAATTGCTAAAAGATACCAACAAAAGCTTTGCATCTTTTAGTCACCTCGGCCAAGTAGTCCGAAATGGCAAGCAGTTTGTGATCCTGTATGATCAGGTGTCACTGACTGTGGTAGGCTTACAGGATTTCAGTTTTCTCAGCAAAGTCCAAGAAATGGGCAATGAGTTTGGGCATATAGCATTGCAATCTGGTTTTGATAGACCCAGTCTGTGAGATCCACCTACTGCAAAGCAGAACTTTCCAAGGTCTGCTACCTTGTTTCCGGTAGTCCCAAAAACAAAGACTGGATATTCTCAAAGCAATTCTTGAGATCCTCGACTTTCATTGCCTTGGTTGTGTGGGTTTTTTGGAGGGCTTCAGCATGGGATTGAGCAATGACAAGCAAGTCCTCCTATGTACTTACTCGTTGGTCCAACTCCAGGATGTGAGCATCATATTGTTCCACCATCCAAAAGAATTCTTGCAAGTATGGGGGGATTACTTCTTGTACTGTATGTAGGCAGGGAGTTCAGGTTTCATCTGCTGGGCCACCCTGTTGGTGAGTTAGTCCAGGCTCAGTTAAGTTTGAAGTTCTGCAGACTTTGCATAAGAGTGCATAAAGTCACTGAGGTTGCATTTTCATTTTTGGCCATCTACAGGCACTTGCAATCTTTAAACTTTGACTGTAAATCTAGAAGCACCAATTTTGTCAAATATTTGTTCATTGGATAATTTGTGATGTGTTCCTAGAACAAGGATGAACAGTAAGGTTCCCAAAGGCATCTCAGTTAGTGAGAGTCGGATTTGAAGGACAGAGCTCTACTGCTCCTCACGTTGGACATTGAAACCAAAGTTGAACTTTGTGTTGACAACAGGATGCTGCAAACAGTGTCCACCAAAACCAACTCATATTATATCACTCACATTCACTGAACCCTCTATTCCAATGGATAAAATAAAAGCTAAGCATATACTAGATAGGCCTACTATCCTTAATTAAAACTGTCCTGCTGCTGGACAGTTTTACACTGCTTCATCCTCTACAGTATCTTGTAGTGAAGTCCTAGCATGTGTTCTTTGTTTCTCGGAAATGTCTGCCTAGTCTTGTTCATTAAAATTGCCCAGCTGCTATTCAGTTTTACACTGCTGTTTAATGTGCATTTTTTTAGCTCTTGTAGTAAAACCCATCTGCATATTCTTTTTCTTTAGTACATTTTGGTCAATTATGTTTTATTAGGTCCTGGCAATTCTACAATGCTGCATCATCTGCAATCTCTTAATAACTAATCTCTTAATACCAAATGAAAGTTTGATGTCCAATTCCTATATGCTGATCAAAGCAGGCCTTTTTACTGCTTGATGAAAATACATATGCTTTTGGTAATACTGCCTAAAAATTTAAAACTGAAATTAATCAAATTGGGATGCTGCTATATTTAGAGCAGAACTTCACCCAAAAGAAAAAGTTCTGCGTTTCCACATTGCCACCCCCCTCCCCTCCTCCACAACATTTGGTACATTGCATTTTTGGGAAGGAGCAGGTAACTAATTTTCAGAAGTTTGCCCCCTCTGCTTGCAGCCTCTTGAGACACGTCGCAGATCCCAGAAGGCTGCAGGGCCCTTCACAAAGTGCAAAGCAGCTTGCACATGTGCAGTGGAAAGTTAGCTGTGAAGCCACAAAGAGTCACATCGGCTTCCCACACTAAAGATGTCGGGGACCTGAAGACAGTTGAGGATGGCCCTGGATTCTTGAACAGGTAAGTGTCCTTTTATTAAAAGTCTGCATCTACAGTTGCAAACAACACAATGTATAGGTAGGAAAAGCGTACACTGGCAGTACATATTTATACAGTACCGTACAATACTGTAGCTGCAGACTTTTAATACACTTTTCCTGACTAAAAATTGTGCTGTTTGTAACATCATGTACAGGTTTACGGTAATCCTAAGCATGTCATCTAAATGATTTGTGCATTGTCTGTACTTTATTCTGACATTTTTTTCCGCCCTGCCTTTTCACTCTCTCCCCCGAACAAAGATGTTGAATTCCATTGTATTGCCATGTCCTTGCCATCCAGGGTCATATGGAGTCACTCTTACGTGCATGCTCTCAGCAAAGAGTGATATACACAAATATATTTTACAGTGATTATCACATATGATCACCTCAGGAGTAATCAAAAGCGATTACTAAACATGCTGTTGGATATAGTAGCAATTAATCACATACATCTGGAGCATTGTGCTACTATAGGCTTATGATCCTTATCACCTCATAGCCAACCAACACAGATTTTTAAAGCACCATTGCACCTTTGATGACCAACATTATTGCCACAAAAATACTTTTTAATACACTATATAAATAAAATCTTAAATTATATGAAAAGAAAACATCTCATTGGGCCTGACTTAAAAGGTTCTAGTTTGATATGCATCTGTTTTATGAAAACTTGATTAAAATTGTGTTTAAAAAAAAAGTTTGACGTTTTGTAGCTTTTTTTTTTTTTGGAACTGATCACAGATGCATTGTTTTCAATGGCAAAATGCACACAGCTTTGTAAAGATCTGTAATGCAGGGATGCATTCACAGCCACAAAAGGAGTAGAACATTTTCAATTTGAGTGCTGTAATTTACACATACATGTGTCTATAACCAACAGGGCTGCTGTTAGAAATCACGGGCCCCGTAGGCGCGTACAGCCTACCTGACCCTCCCCCTGAAAATATAAAAATTGTATTTTCATTAAAATCATTATTAATGGAAACAGACATGACATAACTTACAAAATGCCTGCTAAATCTAAAAAATAAAACTGTATTGACAACTTCAGCCACACAAACAAACCATTCAGGCACACTGTTTGGACCAGAGAACATGTGTGAATGAGCCCTCAGTTTTTGTAATTATTTTTTTAAATATTTTTTTTACATTTTTTAAATTCTTTTTTACAGTTCTTTTTCTACAACCCTGTTTGGAGGGGGGTGCTTTGGTGAGATATCAGGGGTCTAAATAGACCCCTGACATCTCATCTTTGAAAAAAAAAAAAGGAATTGAGAACACAGATTCTTCCATTCCTTTCTCTAAAGCCTTAACTGCCCTGAAGAAGAATGAACAGCAGACAGAGGCTCCTGTTCATTCATAAACTGAAACACAGTTTCCTATGCTTATAAATAGACACAGCAGTGATTGGTACTGATCACTCACTGTGTTCATTCACCAAAGGAAAGGAGGTAAATGACATATTTACTGGCCCCTTCCCCAGATTTCCATCCTGAGAATCCCCCTGAGTATCTGCAGCAGCCGGTGGGAGAGGGAAGCCAGCAGCACTGCGGTGAGGGAGGAGGGGTTGCACACAGGGGGGCACAAAGCAGGAGGAATCAGGCAGGACAGGAAGGGGGATTGGTGTGGCAGGGGCAGGCAATTGCAGGACTAATGCCCTGCATGCCCCTCCCTACAGCAGCTGAAAGCTGTA